AAAGAAAGAAAGAAAGAAAGAAAGAAAGAAAGAAAGAAAGAAAGAAAGAAAGAAAGAAAGAAAGAACTAGCAAAGGGGTGTTGTGTTAGAGCAAATCCCAGCTTGAAGAGCAGTGGCTCAGGAGGGGTGGAAGGTGCATGAAGAACTTTCTATTAGCAAAAAGAGGAAGTTAAAGGAGACAACCCTTCAAACCAGCATCATGCTTCTCTCCTAGTGACCATCTCCTGATTTTACAGTTTAGGAGAACCTTAGCTATGCTTTAGGAGTAATTCCTTTCTTGACAGTTTTGATCCTGAGCAAAGTATGTAACTACTAGTATGAGAGTAAAAAGAGAATGAGGATCATAGCATCATGACTACAAAATCCAAAAAGGCTGTGACTCATTGGCGCTCTTTCCCTTTGCAAAACAATGACCACCAGTGTTCGTTGCAGAGCCCACTTTTCTCTGCAGCTTGTATCTTTTATTGCATTGTAAAACTCAAAATAACAGTAACTGGCTCCTTCCCTAGCACAATTTTACTGCATTGTGATTTATGGTTTCATATTTTACTTAACTCTCTCCTCACTCATAGAAGTGCTAAGGAAATTAAAAGGAAAAGACTGCATCTACTCATCACCTTCTCATAAATATCAACCCAGCATACTCTTTAAAAACACATACAGTCTTGCCTTAACAGAGGAAAAAAAAAAAAAACAAAAAACAAACAAAACAAACTTAAGCCCTGGCAGACATGTATAGAATGAGTTATATCCATCCATCTATACATACATATAGACACTCATATGTATATACAATAAATATATACAAATGAAAATAGCTATACCCAAAATGTGCATATGTAACAGTTTTAAAACACCAGTAGATCATGGTATAATACAATTTATTTCCACTTGTAAATGGCACAAATGGAGAAATGCAAAGGTGTTCAAGTACAATGAAGTTATTTTTACAGGTGAAAATAAATCGTATTATTCCAGTGTCCAAAACAATGTAATCTATGTAAGTTTAAAATGCTAGACATTTACAGAAGCACAAAATTACTAAATTCTGCTTTAGGATCTGAAAAAAAGTTTTCAATTTTTGAAAAAAATGTACAGAACAAAACTTGTTAGTGGCAGGATGGAATCTCCAGGAGAGTTTCTTTAGTGTTCTGAGTGTTACTTACTTGATATCCAGGTAGCCAAAAAATCATGACTATGTACAAAGCTCCATTTATTAGCAAGGCCTTGACTTGAGACTGTTTCATCTATGGGTGTGACTTCCAATTTAGGACTATGGAAATGTACAGAAAAGCGGGAGCTTTAATAAAAATAAACACGCTTTCAGCTAACATTGTTTATACAGTGCAAACACTTTCTGATGTCAAAATTTAGGGTTAGAGCTAAGTTTAAAAGAGAAAAGTTATGTGCAAAGGGTGATGAATCTAATTAAGAATAAGATGTCTCAAGATATGAGGCTTTGCATTTTTAAAATGCTGACCCAAAAAAAGGGAGAACAAGAAATGTTTCCCTGTTAGGCTCTGGATACCAGAAAAAGACCCACAACTTCTGGTGTGCTACACAAGTTCTTCACGCTTCCTACTTTCTTAAACACACATATAACGAGTGAGTATCAATAACTGGGAGGAGGTAGTGTTAATTTGGTCAAATATTGACATTTACATTTTTTTTTTCCAGAAAGTACTTGCCCTATCTTCAGGGCACTTCAAACCCTTTCAAATTTTCCTGCTACCAGTCTTTACTGTGACCTTTCCTGCCATGAACATAAACTCCTTTGAAGTTATAGTTTACAAACACAAACCTATGAATTTTAATCATTTTGAGAACTAACTGTATTAACTAAACTGATGGTATAATCCAGGCATAATAACCTACATGGAGTGCCACATGATTTGATAAGGCAGAAATCCCTACTGGACAGGACAGATAGTATTCAATCACACTACTGTGAGTACATTATGATCAAAATGGACTCAGTTACGCAATCGGACCAAGTGAAGCTCACATATGGGTGGTAAAATTGTATCTCTGGTAGCATTCTGGAGTCTGAAGAAAAAATTTTATACACATCTGAACTGCTTTCCCATTCTAATCCTTCATTAGTTGATAGGTGCCAGATAGATGAAGAATGGACTTTAAAGATGATATTCCTTTAATTTTGAGTAGCCTATTAAATTCTAAAGCTTTCTCTTATTTCCTCCAAATATATAGAACTCTCAATTTGTTTGAAACTCTTTAATAGTACTTTGAATGAAAAAAAAAAAAAAGACTGAAAACTAAAAAGCTCTTTCCATTAGCTATAACAAGTATATGTATACTTTAAAACTGATGTGGAATATGTTTAAAACCCTGCCTAGAAGTGTGTGTGAACCCTGCTATTAACCTTCTATAGGTTTTTCAAAGGACCTATACTATAGCATCTACCTTTCTTTTGTTCTTCCTTTTTGAGACAACTGAAGGCAGCCTTGAACCTGAGACTCCTAACCCTGCCTCCCAAGGGCTGGGATTATAGGCATGTGCTACCACACCCTGATCTTTTATTTTTATTTTTTTAAATTAGTGTCAGAAACCCCCAAACCAATGTCAGAAACTCCTTAACGGGTAAATCATGAAGACTGGAATGACCTACTTGGACAACACCTAAAATGTGGTTAAGGAAACCAAGAACTTTTAATAGTAGCAGATGACAATTTGGTCACTAGTTTGTTCTAAGTATGATTAAGAGAATTTTTGCCCTCTACCTGCATGAAAAGCAGGACCCATAGTTAGCAGCAAGAGCTCTTCAAGACAACTGAAAAGGGAGGACAATTATCTTAAAAGAAGCTCCGGTCTGCTACTAAAAGAAGGCACTGCCCCTTGCCTACCTCCAACTCAAGCTGCACACAAGCAATGAGATAGTAGTTGACATTGATGTACAACACTGGACTGATCCTTCATTTAAGAACAGACAAAACATACTCCCCAAATGTTAGTGGTCCCTGACCACCACATAATATTTTTAATTTTTGTTTTTGTTTTCTTTCACTCACCAAACTACCTAGTTTCTTTCTCAGTAGTATTTTAGCAATGAGGCTAGAGAATTCTGAAAGGTGTGATATTAACACAGACCCAGATGGTCACTAAGTCTCAATGAATTAAGTTTGTAGGTACTGCTGCAACAAAAACAGCAATTAAACAGAGGACCTGCAAATGAAGCAACAACTACAGTGTGAAGATTAGTCAGCAGCTGGTAGTCATTGGCTCAGTGACTCCTAGTGGCAACTAAATATTTAAATAATTGACTATTGCTACTTGTAAACAGGAAATTCGGTAAGCCAAAGAGGGGATCATAAAATTATGTAGTGTCATGAGTATTTTAATAAATGGCAGTTCACAAATATGGCATCAGTCAATACCTCTGGCATTTGCTTTGTGTTGGCTATTCGTCTTTGTTTTGTACAAACAAAGCAAGGTACTGTTGGGGTCTTATTTGGGTTGGATAAGATATCATTGTACAAGAAACACAATGTCAGGATATTTCGGCTTTATCTCCTCACTCCGTGCTAAACATTCCACTCACAGGAACTATTAGGGGGCCCCTAGCCCTCTGTTTTTTCCCTCAGAAAGCTCACAGGCTTATTAGTGCAATCCCCACACAGCTTGTAACCTCCTTAAGCAACTCTACCTTACATTATACAACCTACAGAATCAGTGACAAACTTCTGAAGCACTTAGCAAATAACTAAATGATTTTCTGCTACCTGAAAAGGTAAATAAAATCTTTTAATGTTCGTGGTCTGCTTTTTAGTCCAAACGAGGCTGAAAAGTCAGATCAATGTCATAAATAAAGGAAAGGAGTGGAGGACTGTTTCAGTAAGAGCGTGTTTCAGCATGGATGCTGCCTGCTGTCAGTGACTCAGAGAATTTGGAATATGAAGGAAGGCTTTAGATCTTCCAACAAGTTTCTTAGGCTATGGACACCCTAAAGTGATAATTCAGGTTAGTTTGTTTCATTTTATTTTTATATTGTTCAGATAGTACCCCTTCTATTAAGCCAATTATTTTTTTGTCACACACATAAAATATTATCTATCCCCACCTTAAAAATTTTCCAAAAGTTAAAAACAAAGAAACAAAAAGCCAACCACAAAAACCCGGCAGCCAAATACTATGACATCCCAATTAGTAAACACAAAACATAACGCTTTACAAAGACAAATAAAATATACCATATGCACAGCTTCCACAAGGTAGTACCCAAGTGAGGAGGCTGCTATGCTGATGTCTGTAGGCAGTTTCTTTTGGCAGACAGCTCCAGCGGAATTGCCACTTTCAATTATTATGTGTAAGACATGTGTGACCCATTGGATATTTGTGAAGTGACACTCGTGCTTCTGCTCATGCCCTGTTCTGTCCGTCCCCCAGAAGCTGTCCGCCTCAGAGCCTGGGGGCTATTGCGGACTCCCATACTGCTACCTCGAGGTACCCCTTGCATTGGCCCTGACGGATGACCCCATGGCTGGGGTCCACCCTGTATCGGATGGCCCCAAGCTTGTGGTGTGCCACCCATGGGATGACCCCAGTGAGGTCCTGGACCCCCAGTAGGATTGTGAGACCAACTAGAAGCTCCGGGGTAGCTGTGGCTGAACGCCTCAGGGGAGAGATTAGAAAGGACCATGTTACTAAAACCTAGTCTCATGCTTTCAGAGTCAAAAGCTTCAATTTCTCTGGCTTGACGCTCAAGCAGGCTACGTATTCGTTCTGTGCGTTCATTCTGCAAAGCCAACATCTCTTCTTCAATCTGTCAGGATAGAAAAGGAAAGCAAAAAGATCATTTTATGCTTCAGATCTGTAAGTTAGAGCAGCAATAACTATTCAAAATAATCAACAGTCATTTTATGGATATATATTTAAATTTTTTCTTCTGGCTTTTTGAGACAGGTTTCCTTCGTGTAGCTCTGGCTGTCCTGGAACTAGCTCTGTAGGCGAGGATGGCCTTAAATTCATTGAGCTCTGTCTGCCTCTGCCTTCTGAGTACTGTGATAAAGACTGTCAGGCTCCCTGACTTCTTTGTCCATACAAAAAAACAAAAACAAAAACAAAAACAAAACAAAAAAACCTGTCTCAAAAAGGGGGGGGGGGGGTGGAACGATGGAACTAGCATTGTTCCTCTCACAATCCAACACTCTTTACATAGCTTTATGTTCTTTTTGTTTATATTGAGACCAGGTCTCGGGCAGCCCACGTTAGCCTCAAACTTACGTAAGCAAGGTCTCCACATCCCCAAGGGCTAAAATTATAGCTTTGTGCCACCATGCCTTGCTCATTTTTCTGTGTTTTATTGTTTTGGCGATCTTATGCCTTGATAATGGACTTGCACAGCAAGTGTCATTGCTCCCGTATCTTCAGCTTCTCCTTGTGCTGAGTCAGTGGTACACGGCTCATTTTCTTTCTTGGGCCATGAGTCCACAGGATTGTACTTCTTGTCCCTGTAACATTTTCTATGGTTTTCTTTCTGAGTCTGGTTAATGATGGTGAGGACATGAATGATGGATTTATGGACAACTCAGATCTTAGAGCACTTGGATACAGAGATGCATGTAAACTTCAGTATTTGACACAGCTCCACCTTCAGACCATCAAATTGATTCAGCAGCTCTTCTGTATCTCCAAGGTCCCAAGCCTTAGTCTTTGCATGACTCATAATCTTTACTCATTAATTATATTCTTTTGAGTTTTAGAATTCATTAGTTAAAAAGTCTATTATTGAGACAGGCATAGCGGTACATGACTTTAATCCCAGCACCCAGGAGGCAAAGGCAAGCAGATCTCTGTGACTCTGAGGCCAGCCTGGGCTATATATAGTAAGTTCCAGGACAGCCAGAGCTACAGTGAGACCTGTCTTCAAAACAAAACAAATAAAATCAAAAGGTTCATTATTGAATACTTAAAAAAACATTATCAAACTATAATAAGACAGTATTATGAAAGAAATCTAATGCAAGCCCTGTTGTTATTAGCAGAGTTTTTTGTATTTCAAGTGTGAGGTCGTAAGCTCAACCTTCAGACCAAAAAATTAAAAGCTGTGAATCAGGGTGTGGTGGTGCAAGTCTTTAATCCCAACACCTATAAAGTCAGGGAGATCTCTGTGACGTTCAAGGCCAGCCTGGTTTAATTATCAAATTCATGGCCAGCTAGGGCTATATAGTGAGACCCTCTCTCAAAAACAAAGAGTTTTGGAGATGACTCAGTAGGTGAAGGTAGTTGACAAGGAAGCATAAGGACCTGAGTTCAGATCTCCAGATAAAAGCTAGATATAGCCAGGTATACTGGTGCAGGCCTTTAATCCCAGGACCTTCTCTGTGAATTTAAAGCTAGCCTCATCTACACAGAGTTCCAGGTCAGGTCAGCTAGGGTTACATAGGAAGCCTTTGTCTCAAAAAAATAAAAACAATAACAACAACAACAAACCCAACAAAACAGTGTGATAAGGTACATGTGTAATTCTGGTATGTATATGGCGAAATGGAATGTGGACAGGAGAATCCCTCAGTAACTTGTGGGCCACCTAGTCTGTCTAATGCAGCAGTGAAGAGGAGTAACTACCACAAGGTGGAACGTGAAAAAATGACACCTGACATTGTTCTCTAGACTCCACACATGCCATGGCACAGAAGCCTGCACTCATACAATTATACACATGTACACACAACACACCATACACGGACACTGAAAAAGTAAAAACATGAACCCCACCCACCAATCCCAAACTTGTGGTCACAAGGTTATATAGTTCTTTTGATAAAAGTATTAGAACAGTTATTTTCCTTCTATTATCTTTTTTTTTAATTTATTTTTATTTTATATACATTGGTGTTTTGACTGCATGCATATCTGTGTGAGGGTGTCGTATCCCCTGGAACTGGAGTTACAGATAGTTGTGAGATGCCATGCCATGTGGGTGCTGGGATTTCAACCTGAGTCCTCTGAAAGAGCAGTTGGTACTCTTAACCTCTGAGCCATCTCTCCAGCCCCCTTCTATTATCTTTACCTTTTGTTCTAAGAGTGCCCTGCGAAGGGAGACCCTCTGTTCTAGTTCTCGAAGCTCTCGATCATGTTGGGCCTCAGCCTGCATCTTGATTTTGCTCTGGTATGCATTCAACAGCTCCAGTTCCTGCTGCAGCTGCATCTTCAAAACCTGGCATTCTGCTTCCTGTGCTTCATCCAAACGCAGCTGAGAGAAAGAAGAGAAAGTGCTATATTACACTGTGAACTAGCCATTCATGACTTGCAGAAAAGAAGAGAGAAGACAGACTATGTTTTTGTACGCTACACAACTTCTTTCTTGTAGCCTGGCATGGACATCCCTAAAAAAGAAAGACAATAACCAATACTATATGACAAAAGATGCTATTATAAGCTGTTTTGAAGATACCTGAATGACTATGCTTTTCCTTAAGAGAAACCTAGAATATTATTGGGTAGTATAATGTGCTAAATAGCTCCTTCCCTAGTGGCAAGACAAAGTCAACAAGGACAGCACACAAGCCAGACTGGGTAGCGGCTTGTTTATCTTTGTTCTAACAGCTAAAAACGGGTTTTACATTTTGATGAGGATACATTTTTATTTTTTTTATTTATTTTGGTTTTTTGAGAGAGGGTTTCTCTGTGTAGCCCTGGCTGTCCTGGACTCACTTTGTAGACCAGGCTGTCCTTGAACTCACAGATCCACCTGTCTCTGTCTCTGAGTGTTGGGACTATAGGCATGTGCCACTATGCCCAGCTTAAGGATACATTTTTAATAGAAGTTCCCATACAAAATCTAAATTTTACCTCATGATCTGCAAAGGCTAAAATATTTACTACCTGGTCCTTTAAGAAAATACCTGCACAGCATCTCATCTGAGCACTCCATGAGATTCCTATTCATAGAACTACATTTTTCCTACAGTTTACTCATCTCATCTTCCCCCACCCCCTGGTTTCTTTGAGATGAGGTTTCTCTGTGTAGCCTTGGCTGTCCTGGAACTGACTCTTTAGCCCAGGCTGGCCTCAAACTCAGAGAGCTACCTGCTTCTGCCTCTCCAGTGCTGGGATTAAAGGCGTGTACCACCACTGCCGAGTTTCTGCATCTGATCTTACAAACTATTGCAATCCACACCTGTAGGGAACCATCAATAGGCTCTTATGTCTAAAGGTATCAGTGAAATTCTATATATATCCTGCTACTTCCAAGCAGTACTAAGAACAGAAAGAATACAGATGACTACTATTTTTTCCAGGACTATTAAAGAGCTATCATTCCCAACTTATCTTTTAATCACTAGGATTTCATTTACTTATTAGAAAAGGGTATTAAATCTGTTTTGCCTAAACAAAGCAAACTCACAGCTTGTGTGGAGAGCATTTCATTAATGCTATGATCATACTGCTCAGCCAAGATGGCTAACTTCCGAGTCTGTTCCTCCTTGAGTCTTTTCAGAACAGCTTTGTGCTCACTCTTTGGTGTAGTCTCCAGAAGGTGGTTCCTTAATGCTTTGTACTGTCTGGTCTGAATTTTGCAGGTATCCTGAAACTGCTTTTTTATTTGGAGTTCTTTAGACTGGAAAAGAAAGAAAAAAAAAAATATATATATATATATGTCTCAACATACAGCATTTGGTATAGTGTATACATACATACATATGCATATACACACACACAACCAGGGGAAAAAATAGAGAAAAAAAAAATCACAGTCATCAATTACAGGTATTTTTTTTGCCCTTGGCAAATATTCATGACACAAACCTAAATTTCATTTCATAAGTCAAGTTATGGTAGTTAAAAATACCAGCAAGCTAGAATTTTACCACATATTTGAGGCAGAAAACAAAGCATATTTCTTTGGTCACTTAGAACACTTGACTCCAATTTTTTTTTCTTTCCATGATAATCTCAATTCTAACCACAATCTATAATAGATTCTACTTTCTGTGGTATCTATGTACCAAACTTTAAACTGATTATGAAGTGTGTAAATGATTACTACAACTGTCTTTTTCCTTAGAAAGCATACTTAATTCACGGCCCCTGCCTTGTAATACTAACGTCTGAACCCAGGGCATCATGACAGCAAACACTCTACCATTAATTCACATTCCCAACCCTTTTTAAAATGTTTTATTTTGAAACAAGGTCGTGCTAAATTGTCCTTAAAATCCTCTTACTTCAGCCTACTCGGGGCTGGAACTACAGGATTGCTGGCATCTGTGGCAATGATTTACTTATTCTTTAACATTTGAAAAGAAGCTTTAAAATCACTTCACTATTTTTTCAATGGTCTAATAAAAGCTATGAAACGATGCAGGAACCACCTCCTAGGAGTAAAACAAACAAACTCCACAAGTATCTGAGATAAACATATTACAACACGCTGCCTTTAAAAAGCTTTAATCTTCTTTCATTTAGTGATAGCGCACGCCTTTAGCCCCGGCAATCAGGAGGCAGAGGCAGGGGCAGGGGCAGGGGCAGGGGCCTCAGGGCAAATTCCACGACAGCCAAAGCTACATAGAGAAAAAGAAAACACACAAAAATTGTCTTGAAAAAGAAACACACAAAAATTAAAAGGAGATATACTTTTATATGATAAATCAGTTCAGCCTATCATAAATTTATCATAATGCCACATACAAATTAGTTGATTCAAAATACATGTTAAATAATACAAATATAGGGGGAGGGTGGGACCGGGAGGGGAGGAGGAAGGGAATTATGGGGGGATATAAAACGAATAAAGTGTAATTAATAAAAGTTAAATAAAAAATTTAAAAAAATACAAATATAAAACCCAAGTTTAGCTAGGGATTAGTTTAAAGTAGAACACTGGCCTACCTCAAAACACAAGGTTCAATTTTCAATACCATAATAAAATATAACTATATAAAAAATTTACATATTTGTCCATGAAAATACTTCCACTTCCACACTATAACATTAATATAAATATTTCTGTATTTTTCAGCAACTGAGGAACCATGTCTGGCCATATGCCAAGGCTCTTATGTCAAGAAGGGTAAAAAAATGGCTAAAAATGACTTTTGGCTTAGCTGTGCTTAGTATCATTGCTCTTACACACTGGTTTTGTTAAGTTTTGTTTGAGACAAGGTCTCTTCATGTAATTCTGGCTGGCCTGGAACTCAATGCACAGACCAGGCTGGCCCTGCCTCCAGAGGGCTGCAAGTACCAGGCCACCACACCAAGTTTAAATACCATTCTTGATCAACATTCTACCAAGTGCTTCTAGACAAGAAAGAGAATAATGAAATTCAGACATGCTTCTCTACCTCTTTTATAAATGGTAATCATGCCATAACAACAACTGGAATAGTTCTTAACTTTCCTTAGTCATAAATGAAACTTAAGTCATGGCTGGTATGCATTATAACACCAGCACTTAGAATACCAAGGTAAAAAGGAGGATTAGGAGTTAAGGTGATTATCCATAGCTACACAGTGATTGAGACCTGCTTGGACTATAAGATTATCTCAAAAATCAAACAAAATGTTCCCTGCCTGCCTGTGCACATACGTACATACGTGTATACACACACACACACACACACACACACACACACACACACACACACACA